AAATATGTGTAAAATAAGTTAACTGGGGATGTTTAGGGGTTGAAATGAACATGGTTTTGAACAAACCTGCAAAAGTATAGAATAAAAAGGCAGGTGTGTGTCATAATTCTGTGAATACATAGTATAGGATGAGAAGTGTGTGTAATATAAGTTAACTTTAAGGGTTAAAATCAATATGATTTTGATCAAACCTGCAAAAGAATTAATAAAAAGGAAGGTGTGTGTCATAATTCTGTGAATACATAGTATAGGATGAGAAGTGTGTGTAAAATAAGTTAACTGGGGAAGCTTTAGGGGTTAAAATCAACATGATTTTGAACAAACCTGTCAGGCTGCAGCTCTGGGAACCACTTACAAAAAGACTTATAGCTGTGGAACCAAAGTTAATGCTAAACATCATTTCATCATTTCTACCTCAATCTGACTCTGAGCAGTGATTATCCTCTATATAGCTTATTGTCATAGTGATGACAAATGTAATATTGTGTCTACTCTGTAAGTCGCTTTGGATAAAAGCGTCTGCCAAATGCATAAACATAAACATAAACATAAACATCATTAATATGCAAAGACTGGCATTAAATGAAGGTGCACACAGCTTTTAACAGAAGATTAAACCTTCATTTTCCCCTATTTAATAGTTATTTAGTCCTAATATTTAGAATAAAAAGGCAGGTTTGTGTCATAATTCTGTGAACACAGAGTATAAGGTAAGAATATTTGTAAAATAGGTTAACTGGGGAAGCTTTAGGGGTTAAAATCAACATGATTTTGAACAAACCTGCAAAAGAATAGAAAAAAAGGCAAAAGAATATAATAAAAAGGCAGGTGTGTGTCATAATTCTGTGAATACAAAGTATAGGATGAGAATGTGTGTAAAATAAGTTAACTTTAAGGGTTAAAATCAACACGATTTTGAACAAACCTGCTAAAGAATAGAATAAAAAGGCAGGTGTGTGTCAATACATAGTATAGGACTAGAATATGTGTAAAATAAGTCACCTGGGGAAGCTTTAGGGGTTAAAATCAACATGATTTTGATCAAACCTGCTAAATAAACATGTTATCTCTCTTGTTTACCTTGTGTCCTCTGTAGAAGGCGATCTCCTCGGCGTTGGCGATGATCCGGGAGTGCATGTAGCGCAGGTATCCCTTCCGGTGCGCCTCCTCGGCAACCAGCTTCCCGAACTTTGGCGAGCAGGCCCTCAGCACCTTGGCGGTGGCGAAAGATTGGTGTTAGATAGATAGATAGATAGATAGATAGATAGATAGATAGATAGATAG